GCCGCCGCCGCCGCCGCCGCCGCCGCCGCCGCCGCTACCACCAACCACCCACCGGAGCGGTGTATGCGTCGAGCGCGACCAACGAGATACTGTGTCCACCCACCCACCGCGATATAGGTACTACAACGGCCGACTAAACTCCTCGGTTACTTTATATAGGTGGTCCCTTATAACGCGATATAGCTCTTCGTGATACGTCGCGAATGCCATGCCCGGATATTTAAAGCCTCTGCGCACACCGTGCGATAAGCACGAGATACGTACGAGCGTGTCGGCGCAATGATTATGATAATAATAATAATAATAATAATAATGATAATAATAATAATAATAATAATAATAATAATAATGATAATGATGATGATGATAATAATGACGAGGATGCACGCGCGCACGTTTAGAGACGAATAATGATTTGAGGAAGCAAAGGGAATAATAGAAAAAAAAAAAAATCACACAAAAGAAGTCAAGAGAAGAAGAAATCTTTGTTCACATTGTGTTTCGTCTTCGTGGTTGCGCGTTGTTGCACGCCGCTTCCAGCAGTTTCTAGAAAGAACGAGAAAAGGAAGAGAAAGAGAGAATAAGAGAGCGACGGGAAGAGAGTTCACTCGGAGAGCGGTCGCCACGTGACTAATGCGTGGTGCCACGTTCGACAGTCGCGACTTCGTTTAATGATTTTGGCGTCATTAACGTCCGGAGCAAGGAAGAAGCCGAAAGCGTTCGCCCGGGAGGACGAACACGGGAGGGAAGAGGGGGGGGGGGACCACCTGTTAGGCGCCGGCGGTATATCACAGTAGAAACTTTGCCGATGATAAGATAACGCTCGGGTGGAAACGAATGACCAATTTCGTCTCCCACTCGCACACGCCGCGATTCTCTCGAGACATTTATCTCGGAATCTCCTCGGATCCTCTCGCCGCGATACACAACACACACACACGCGGAAAATATTAACGCCGCGCCGTTAATCCCTCTCGCGTTTATTTCTCGCGCGAGACGTCGAAGACGCGCGAGACCGCCGCGCGTCTTTCGTAATTGCCTCTTTCCCCTCGACGAGGGGAAAGAAAAATCGAACGAAAATTCTCGGATTTTGATACCGCGAGCGGACGGCGCGAGAGGACACAATCTCCAACTTTATTCGCGACTATGACACATTATTCATGCAGCGCGCTCGGATTTCGGCAGTTTCAATCGTTCTCCTGGCGAGGAAAATAGTTCACAGATCCACATATAGCGATGTGTATGTGTATCTTCTCTTTTCTCTTCTCCGAAAATGGGAAAATATAAAATTTCGACGATTTTATATTTCGAAGCTAGATTATTTCAAAATTGTAACCATTCCAATATAAAAATGCGCAACAAAGAGCTTCTCCTCGCACTTTCGCCGATATTTCGCTAAACGCGTCACAGAAACAGATCTTATAATCGCGTCAAGATGCGGTAATCTCGTGGAAGGACGACGTTCGCGACTTTACGGCAGATTTGACGCACAGATAGATAGATAGATAGATAGATAAATAAATAGAGAGATAGATAGATAAATAGAAAGAGAGAGAAAGAGAGAGAGAGAGAGAGAGAGAGAGAGAGAGAGAGAGAGAGAGAGAGAGGCGGATTCCACGACATCGACGGATAACGCATCGCGATGCTCCGCGAACGCCTGATCCGCTTCCCCTCCGCGGCGGGAAGAGAAAGATAAAGAGAGAGAGGCGCAAAAGGAACGACGCCACGAGAGAGGAAAGGGATAGAAAGATAGGCGAGGTAGCCGTAAGCATATTGATCAGGAGACAGTAGTTGGCCGCATGCCACGTGGTGATGCTACGAGAGGCGTCGGCCTCTCCACCTATTATGAGCCAAGGCTCCTATCTTCGCGTTTCTTCTTTTCCCCCGCGGGCTTCACCCCTCGACGCCACCGCTGTTGTCTTTCTCCCTCCTGTCGCCCCAGCCCCCCTCGTCGCCGTCCATCGTCTCCGACCGACGGAGAGAGCTCTTTTGCCCTCGCGCTATTCCAACCGCTCCGGTCTCTCTTGCTTATACTTTATCTTCTTGTCTTCGGACTTGACTTTTATTCCAAACGCGGCGTTCTAGAACGTGTGTGCGTGCCACTCGCTATGTATTATATAGTTTTATATATATACGTATATATATAACATATATATAGTTTTACATCTATGTATATATTACATGTATTACATATATGTGTGTGTGTGTGTGTACACAAGCGAAAGAGACGAATGCGTGTGGCCCGGTCTGGCGCTTATGCGAACGCGGCCACGCACACGATGCCCACCCTCCGTTATCCTCCCTCTCTGCCTCCTGCTTCCCCCTGAGCCAAGTCTGTCTCCGCTACTCCTCCTCGAGAGCGCTAAAATTGAGACGTCAGCCTAACAAGCTCACCCGCATCGTCCGAGCGCAAAGGATATCTCACCGTCCTCTCGTTCCCTCTCTCTCTCTCTCTCTCTTTCTTTCTTCTTCTTCTTTTGCTCGCTCGCTCGCTCGCTCATCGAGTGATCTCCCGGCGGCAACCTTGAAGAAGAAAAAGGAAGATCGGCGAAAAAAAAAAAAAGAACACGGAGGGGGTCCTGTTAAACGGCCGGCTTGGCACAGAGAGAAAGGAGACCGCCTTCTTGGGTGGCTACCGGTTCCTCTCGGTCAACCCCTTCCACCCACTTGCAGCGATCGCGTCCTGCGCGAGTGTTGTCGTCCTCGTCCTTTTTGATCCCGCGAGGATCATTTCGCCGTTTTCGTGATGCGGAGTCGGTAAGGAGGGTTGTCGATTCGGGGTAGTGGTTTGGGATCTCTGTACCGACACCGAATAAGCCAGGGCGAGTTACCCTTGAGCAGATTTCACCCTTTTCCATCTCGTCGGTGCCTTTTCTAGATCGCTGATACAAGTTCCGGTAACAGGTAACGTAGCGAACTGTTATCGAGAGTGATGTATACTTGTCGAGTTCCTCTCTCTCTCTGTTCGAATTGTGCAGTTATATACTGTTATATATTGTGTTTTTGTCAAAACGTACGCTTCGATAATTTATTTTTCGTATAACAGAGAAATGAAGAATTATATTTATCGTCACGCGCAAAGTTTGCAAAGTAAATAATAAATTCTTGTTAAAAAAATGAATTTTTTATATTTGTCACAGTTGAATAAGCTCGTGAAATAATGAAACAAGGTATTTGAAGAGATGCGAGCAAAAAAACACGAGATGTTTAGGATTCTTTATTATGAATACTGAAAAAATTACAGACGTTTCACTTCCTTCGCGTTCGAATCTTCATCGGTGTTTATTATATACGCTGTGGTCGTTCTAATAACTATACTAATTTTTAATATTATATAATTTTTTGTTTATACACTGATAAAGATCCAAACGAAGACAGATCGAAACGTCTGTGATTTTTTGTAATTAATCAATAAAGAATCTCGCGTATCGAAACGCATCCTGTGGGGTTTCGCTCGCATCTGCCCAACTACTTTGTTTTGTATATTTGTATATTTCATATATTTGTATTTTTACAATATTTTATATTCGATTCTTTATATTGCGCTAAATTCAATTCGTTTATGAAAAAATGCACACATTACGATAAAAGATATGACATATAGACACGAACGAGATTTTGTGATTTTTCGAATTTACGCACAGGAAAAAACCTAACTTCTGATAAAATGTCGAATACTAAATGTCGTTATTGTCTGGCAGCTTTTATTTTATATCTTAGTTGTTTTATACACTACACATCTCTCTCTAGATTTGTTTTCATACATTATAATCAGCGACATTCAGCAATCGTCACATTAATATCAGAAATTGCAACAGTGAAAGACGAAGATTGCATTGTTGCGTCAGCAAAAGAATAACGACGAAGAAAAAAGCTTCGATTGAGAAGTATTTTTGTTGCTTTTGTTTGTTTTTTTTTTTTTTAAATTTGCGATTAATTTTAACTTGTGCCAATTAATTAATTAATTTTAATTTCTCTATGCTACCGCGCGTGAGAGATATCTTACAATGTAATATAATCTTACAATGTAATAATCTTACATATATAATATAATCTTGTAATAATAATACACTTATATATGTATACGTATTTTTTTTACGAATAATGGAAGACAAGAAACTTTAATGTTATTGCTTATTATATATATATATATATATATATATATATATTATATATATTATATATTATATATTATATATTATATATATATTATATATATATATATATATATATATATATATCGCAATCACGCGTCTCTTTTAATCGAACAAGATTCGCAGTAATTGAGTCGATAAAGAGTTTGTGTTACACGATTATTGTCTGTGCGACACAAACTGTGTTGACTGTTAGTGTGGCTTTAATCATTCCGATACTATCGACACTTCAACAAGCTGTTTCAATTTTATTGGCATAAAAAAAGTTTTGTTTAAAACTTTTTCCGTAGCAACGTTTTTTTTTTCAAAAAAAAAAAGGTCTTTTACATGTACCTGATGTAAATAAAAAACTGCGAAAATCAGTAACCACCACATATAGACGCAGAACAGACGATAAAACAACATGGCGTCGTAGCGGACGGTTTCGAACTTTAGAAGAAATTCTCAGCGACGATCGAACAATCCTTTGGCACGCAGAAAACCATCTTTTTATGCGACATGTGTCGAAAAAGTATCGATATGTGTCGCAAAACTATCGATAACCTCTTTTTATACGATAGTATCGAAAAAATTAAGATGTTATAAAACAATGTTGTATAAAACGATCGATTAGAATTATGAAAGACAAGTGCGAATTGGGGACATAAATACAGTCGTACATCGTATAATTACGTCTGGACTTATTGCAATACTCGACTTAACACTAATCAGTAATGGGAGACTAGGTTTCGCCGATTAGACGTTTCAAGCGCGGATGTCGAAGTATCTTTTTTGTTTTTCCACCGACTTCAATAAGATTCAATTCGGTAAGTAATACTCTCGCGGTATGTATTCCGGTTTCGGACTGCTCGGCTCGATACCGAGCAACTCTCCCATGAAAGCGATGTAGGTGATCGCCAGGCGCAACGTTTCGATTCTCGAGAGTCGCTTCTCGTAAGCGAACGTCGGTACCTGAAGACACAGAGGATAATATGCGAATTGTTGAGAAATCAGAAACAAGCGTGAAAAATCTTCTTTCCGACTCTGACATATGTATGTACAGGGTGGCCCTTAATTACTCTTGTTGAAAATTTTGTTTTGAATTTTTTTCGCGGCATCCTCCAAAATGGTTCCGATTGCTAAACAAATAATATGTGAAAAATTTCAGCTTGATTGGATAAAAGAAAAGATATTTAAAAAAAAAAGTCTTAAAAAAAAGTTAAAATATTATTTAAATTCATAATAAATAGATATTATTTGATTATCTTCGAAACTTAATCGATTTTCTCAAAAAACACGTTAAACAAAAGTTGGTAGATCTGGATCAGAAGTTTTAATCAAAAGAACTATACATTTTAATCATATTTCTCGCGGCACTGTCTAGAATGATTCCAACTGCTAAAAAAATAATCTGTGAAAAATTTAGTCCAATCGGATGAGAGGAAAAAGAAGCTTCCGAGCCTTTAAACAATGAAAGAATTATTCAAATAAATAAAGAATCGATTTTATTTGATTATCTTCCAATTTATTGATTATATCGAAAAACACGTTAAACAAAAGTTGTATACATATGGATCAAAAGTACATTTATTACTTTTTTTTGACCAACGGTTTTCAAAAAAATTCAAAAAAATAAAAAAAATTACTTAATTTAATTTATAACTCCAATATATTATTTGAAATTAAACGGCTATAAGGAGCCTTTGCGGGATGTTGTGCAGTATTAATAATGTTTGAAACAATAGTTTTGTCAAAACATTTCGAACTTTACTTGAAGTTCTTATCAATTGATCTGCTGACATTTTTTGTATTGCAAGTGTTATTTATGCGAAGTGATATTAGGATTGAACATTAATAAATTAAATACATACACCGATATAAACCAAAAAATTTAGAAGTGATACGCATCATGTTACAATATAAATAATCAAATTTTATAGAGTCAATCAAACTTACACACACTATTCAGTTAAAACGGTAGAGAATTATGAGAATTATACAACCATGACGCTCATAATTCTTTATTGTTTTAACTCAATAGTGTGTGTAGTTTGATTGACTCTATAAAATTTGACTATTTATATTGTAACATGATGGGTATCACACTTCTTAATTTTTTTGTTTATATCGGTATGTATTCAATTTATTAAGAGCTTTCTACAATGAGATATTAGTAATAAATCAGAAGCAAGAAATTGACCAATCACAGTCAAATCACAGAAGAATAATCGATTGTGATTAGTCAATTTCTTGCTTCTGACTTCTAATTTAGTACTAATATCTTATTGTAGAAGGCTCTTTAATGTTCAATCCTAATATGTCACTTCACATAAATAACACTTGCAATACAATGTCAGCAGATCAATTGATAAGAACTTCAAGTAAAGTCGAAACGTTTTGACAAAACTATTGTTTCAAACATTGTTAATACTGCACAACATCCTGCAAAGACTCCTTAAAGCCATTTCATTTCAAATAATATATTGGATTTACCAAGGAGAGCTCGAAGTGACACCTCAACAATCTACTATATTTAATTTATAAATCTTGATGCTGAGACAAGTGAGATGTAAGACACTGAGACAAAGTCTCTTTCATATAATCAGGGAATATGACGGCAATTAGTTACAATTTGAGGAATATTATACATTTTTAAATAAATTTTTTTAACGTTTAAAGGGAGCTCTTTTTCCCCGATCAGACTGAACTTTTTCACAGATTATTATTTTTAGCAATTGAAACCGTGTTCTAGAAGATGCCGTGAAAAAAACTCAAAAGTCGAAAATAAGAGCCACCCTGGCACACAATTCAATGAAGAGAAGAAGAAGAAGAAGAAGAACGTACCTTCCTGCGCAATTTATCGAAGGCTTCGTTCAGATTGAACATTCTGCGTCTCTCACGAATATTCGCGGCTCTTCTTTGGGACACAGTCGCCACCCGACGTCTCGGCTTCTTCGTCGTCGACGACGGCAAGTTCGGCGAGCGACCGTTCGTGGTGTAACGACTGAAATTTCAAAATCGCCTATAATAAAAGCCCAAATGTGTCGTAGCGTCATCGTGAACTTATATAGAAATCTGATTTCCCGCTGCGGGAAGTTTTTCTCTTAAGATTTTCTTACTTCCGAGAATTTTTCTATGTCCGTTCGTCAAAATTTACCTTTGATGCAACAACGCGCAAGGTTGTCTGTACAATCCGTGCTCGTTCACGTGCGGATGCGTAGGCGGTTGCGTCTGATACAACACGGCGCTATCCCACATAGGGTAGCTGCCGATCTCACTCCCGACGTACTGCGACATTTCCGCCGCGATTACCTGTCGCGGAACAGATTGTTCTTGAGAAAATCGTTTGATTCGAATAACGAACCACAAAAAAATCGGTAATTCATATGTATGTGTGTGTGTGTGTGTGTGTATACGCGTATAAACGCATAAAATTGTAAAACTAGAGAAAATCCGCGAATCTTCATACAGTTACAACATTATCTAATTGCGCGCGAGAAACATCCGCGCGTAAATACAACAATATATTTTTATTTGCAATTTTTTTAACAACTACAGATAGGTATCACTTGATCGCACAGTAACCAAAGTAAAACTACAATATTGAACCGCGAGAGATATCGGAACAGAATAAAAGACGGTCGCTATCCCGTTTTTTCGCGAAACCGAGCGACGACCGAAATCGCATCGCGCGCGACACGAGACTCAGTCCCGAAACTCACTGGTGCTTGATTTCCATTGATCTCCCACAGCGGTTCGGTGTAGCTCATATCCCGCTTCCTGTCCAGCAACGGGCAGATGCACCACCAGCAGCAGATTCGCTCTCGTTCCAAGAGAGAGAGAGAGAGAGAGAGGGCGGAAAAAAATTAAAAAAAAGGAATGTCGCACTTCGCGCTTTTCGTCCGACGATCTATCGGGACCCGGGTGTCTCGCTCTTCTGAGGATTAGCTTATCGGGGGTCGTGCATTTTCGGAAAAATTTGCGAACATCCCTCCGACTAGGGTGTCCACCACCGCCGAAATCCCCGGTATCGCGGAGGACGCGTGCGCCGCGACGTCGTCGCGACATTGGATCTTGCGATCTCGCTGCTCTCCGCGTTGGGCGGTGCTTGTTACCCTCGACACAGCCCACCGCCGCCGTGGCCGCGAGAGCTGATCTCGCGTATCGACCGAAGAATGGAAGATGGACGTCAATTGAATGGGAGTCAAAAACTTGAACGCGTCGAACTTTATAACCGAATAAATATATGTTACATCCGAACTTTTAATCCGTTCGATTTCTCACAAAAAAAGCTGATATTCCAAATGATAAAAAAAAAAAAAAAATATTTCGTAAACGCAAAAGAAACAAAAATGTGAAGAAAGAAGATTCGATTGTCTTTTCGATTTTTTTTAACAAAATGTTCATTTGCTTGAAAACAAAGTTTGCGTTACAATATTTATATTGCCGTTATTAATTAAACGAATTAATGAAGATTATAAAGAATCAACGCGTCGGTTTTCCTTCACCCTCGCGTCGCGACTATATTAGTGCGGGGGATGACTGCGACGAATTCGTCGTAATAAGCGTCGGCAAAATCTGAAAAGGTCCGTGACGAAATCCCGTAATTTCGCTCAAACGCGTGACCCCGTTGCGGGCCGCGACGTATTGTTAGCGACGCATCAAAATCAGATCGGACGAACACGTGCGAAAGCTAGCCAGAATAGTTTAGCACACAGCTTGCTCCATTGGCCCGTTTAATTCTTGCGATTTCGGCAGTAATCATCTCTGGTTTGGTAACAAGCGCGTAACACAGACGCGAAACGCTTGAAAAGAATCGAAAAGTCTGAACAAATAAAAGGTTTCAGTTGATGCCATTTTTTTTTTTTTTTTATCTGGAGTCTTCGTTGCAAAAACAATTTTGTACAGAAAATGCAGAAACACGGGAAAAAAATAGTTTCTAGCTAATTACGCAGCTAATTACGGTTTGTTGAAATTGAATTTGCTGCTGTAGCTATAAAATTTTCTATTACATAGAAACAGTTTTTGTGCTGATGTTCCTAAATATGTCGACATAATAGCAAAATATGTATGTCTTGTAGCACTAAGAGTTTAGACGTCCATAATACTACCAAAATTTAGGAACCAAACCCCTAATTTTTAGCTGTGAGAGCTAACTTATTTTTTCCGTGAATATTTATATACTTTTTGCGCAGTTTGATATCAAGTTTTGTGTACTCTCGGTGGCTTCTTTAAAATCTTCATATTTTTTTAATGAAAATTGTGGTGAAAATACTTGCGAGAAAAGCAACAAACAAGAAATACTTTAAAGATCGATCTCTCGTATTCGAATCGAAGAAAATCTCAGAAATAAATCTCTCTCTCTCTCTCGTACTAAACCTTTCGTTTTATTTCTCACATAACTTGTTCGCGTTTTTTAAGGTTGATAAAAAACGTGATTTTTCCGCGTGTGATGTCTCACGCGGTATCGGTCGCGTGAGAAATAACGGCAAAAAGCTCCGAAGCTTATCAGCGCCGACGCCTGAAACATCGATCCGAAGCGTCAGCTTGCAGTTATGTATATAGCGTATATTACAGCAGGGCTGTATTATACGTCCACACACACACACACACACGTCGCGCTTGTAATTCTATACTGTGCGCGAAGATCCGAATATCTCGTTTGTCAAATATTTCACGCGATTTATATTGCATACGAGACGTTTTCGCGCGCTTGAGAAAATATCTCGATGTAGAAACCATGTATAAGTAATTGTAAACAAATTTGTTCGAAACAGATTACATTCAAATATCTATTAGGTCTATTACTATCTATTATTTATTTAACAGATTATATTCAAATATAATCTATTACTCCGCAATCGGTAAAATATTGAAATATTGTTCCGATAGATTCAAACAAAGAGGGACGCCAAAATCAGTCTAATTTTTTGATCCCGCGATTTTTGAACTAAATCGTATGCCAAATGATATCTTATGACAACAATCGCAAAATTTTCAAGCTGAGCTATTACCAGTTTACGAGATATGGACTATCAAAGTAATCAAAATTCAGTAAAGCTTTCAAGCACGAAGTTTTATATCTGTCCGATACAATTAGAATTTTGTATCTGTTTTTGCTTACGTCTGTTTCTGTTTTGTTTAATATGATGTCGAATATTCCCTAATAGGCACATTTGTGAAAAAAAATATTGCACAAAAATGGCATCATGAATGGCGACGATTTTGCAATGATTGCACTAAGATGATTCGCCATAACGCAACAGTTTTGTCGAAATAAAATTTTGTAAATAATATTTGTCAAAAATTGCGAAAGAGTCGTTATGCATTTCCTTAAGTATATACATGAATTAATTTGATTTCTTCGAATGTGCAATTATATTTCTCTACATATTTTAAACATCACATAGCTGAAATTTTTTCCTCAATTATTGGACAATTTCTTTGTGAAATTAATTTTGCAAATGTACTGCTAAGATGATTCGCCATATCGTTATTCTTTTGCCGAAATAGTATTTGGAAAGTAATTTTGCAAACAACTACAAATATTTCAGAAAAGATCAATGTTTTTGCATCTATTTCCTAAAATATGTCTGTATAATTGCAAATTACAATTTTAGTGCAAGATTTCGTCACATAATTTTGCAAATGGTTTCCTATCAGAGTTGTTTTGTAAATCGATTTGGCAACAAAATGATCACATGCTGATATTTAATTTCTTTGAACAGGCAGAAACAGTTACGGAAACAATCAGACACGTAGAAGCACAGATAGATACGAACGGATACAGAAATAGACAGCGACCAATAAAACCCTACCCAGCGAGCCAAATGTGAAAACTCAATATAAAGCTAATCATTGTATAGATTAAGTTGCTCGCCAATTGCTGTTGTGTTGTTTTTATTTAATGCAACGAAAAATGTTCTTGTCAATTCAGTATCAATATATGCTGAGTTTTATTATCAATCAATTGTTGTAGCGCCAATGTTTATGACAAGCGAGTTAGCAATATGTGAGCAATAATTTTTATTCATAAGTTGAGAAAAATAATATAAAGTTTATTGCCGATGAATTGTTGGGAACTCGCTGTTGTTATATTTTGAAAACTGTTGCTGGCAAGAACATACCGAAAAGAGGATACATCCTTTTGTTACATTGCTGAAAACATATGAGCAATATTTGTGGCAAGTTGCCAACAACTTGCACTTGGCTATTTGGGTAGATATTGTTCGTAGAAATTAAAACATTTTTTACATGTATGGTCCGCCATATTAATTCGGCCATTTTGAATTTTGAAAATTTGACTTCAAACTCGTTATCAGCAGCCAGAAAAACTCCCAGAAAAGTTACAAAATTGTAATTGTATCGGACAGATATAAAACTTCGTGCTTCAAGCTTTACTGAATTTTGATTACTTTGATCGTTCATATATCGTAAACTGGCAAACAGCCTCAACTTGAAAATGTGCGATTGTTGTCTCGTCATAAGATATCATTTGGCATGCAATTTAGTTCCAAAATCGCGGGATCAAAAACTGGGTTGAAAAATCACCGATTTTGTACGTTTCCTCTTGAAGCGGATGAAACGAAAAGTAAAACTCGCGAAGAGCGATTTGTCATGGTTGTTATTGTTGCGAGGCGGAATCGGGGAACGTCGTGGACGTAATTAGAGCGTTCCGAGGGCGCGGAAATATCACGGAGCAAAGAAGGGAGATGCGCTCGGGAATAACTAATAACTTTATGCACCCCCGTCCGAAGTCACTTAGGGGTAAACACGGAATCCGATTTGACGCGCGATGTTTATACGCGCTCGGTGTAAAAGGGGAACGATCCTTCTTTCTCTCTTTTGTCGCGTCAAGTGACACGGTTAATATCTATTTAATTGATTCGGGGGATAAAACACACCCTTAGAGAATTCGCTTCAAGAGAGAGAGAAACCGTTCAACCGCTCTTTTGCCCGCGAACAATATGCTGGCTGTCGTTAGAAAGCGCAAGAGATGCGCACGTGTCCGTCGAAATCGCAAATTGACTCCGCGCCTTCGACCGGACACTGTAGTAGTGAAAAATTAACAGAGGGCGAAAGTTATATCATAATGGTAATAAAAGATAAATGTAAAAAAGTTCAGATATCGAGCACAAGATTAAAAATGTGCGAAATTAAATACCACTAATTGAAAATGTTAGACAAACAAATGAAAATATTAGAAAATATGTAATACAGAATATTGGAAAACATTATATAATATACTAAAAATATGATATAATACAGAATTAGTAAGCATATTGGGAATTTTATTAAAATCTTTGAAATGTACATAATATAGATATACATTTGTATGTATATTCTACAAGGTAACCAGGAGGAAGAGGCCAAAAATTGAAATATCCTTAACACTTTTTAGCATTCAAATATCTTTATACTTTTCACGTACAAACTGCATTAATAAAAAAAAATTCGATTTTTCAACTGGTTTAATTTTTAATTTTTGATAAAAAAAAAAAACAACAAAGAATATTTTATATCAGTCTCGCCGTCAAATGTGTTGTTGTAAGTTTGCTTGAAATTACAAAAGAAAAGATTCACATTTCAGGCATCGTCCTCCGAATTACTCCCTCACCGTAATAATTTTCGTCTCTATAAGCGCGCTGTTTATATATAATTTTACAGGTACGATCAAAATCTACAAATAATATCTCTCTCATTGTATCTATTCTGCTTGCTAGTACATACACGATGCGAGATCCGCGTATACGTATCAGCACACAGACCGTCTTTTATATCACTTCAGGATGGATACAAAAGAGATCTCGCTAAATCGGGGATACTCTTTGGCTCGGATTGAAATCCTTTCATACACTGAAAAAATAGCAGGAACCATAAATATCTCTGACTATGCGGCGTAACAAACAAAGATAAACAGCAACAAAGATTTCTAGCGAGGAGATGGGTTTTCGTTGTCACTTGAGACACGTTAGGTAGATCGTTTTTTTCTTTTTTTTTCTTTTTTTTTTTACCTCTCGTATATCTTCGGTAACTTTAAGCACTTCTATCAACTTGTGAGAAGAGTTGCATCGTGTAACAAGCTTTTATATCGTATATAAACGGACTTAGAACTTAATTCAAGTAATACACGTATTTACGTTTCTCTTTGTCTAAAGGAACATTTTAAGCACTTGCAAATCACATTTTTTTTTTTTTTTTTGTTAGAATAACACTGTGTTCTCCGTAATAGTTTCTTATCTCTACTTAATACGTATCTATCAGGTAATATCGCTATATTACATTGATTACAATCTATATATCAGCATTTGTACATCTGTAATAATATTTCTGTAGAAGACATAATTCTACGCGTATAGTTACGACAAATTCACAGTCAACAGCGATGATTTCTAGTCGGCAAATACATTACTGTGTACGAAACCTGATGTTTATTTATCTAAGATTCGTACAAGCAACCGAAAGCACAGTCTACGTTATTAAACTTTCTGATTAGGTGTTTTTCGTAGTGTTTTCAATTTCTTTCGAAGTAAAGAAATTGAAAAAAAAAAAAAAAAAATCTCGACTGTTCTCTTATTGAAATAAATGTTACATAAATCTCTTTTGCGTTACAAATAAAATTAAAATATCTTGTTCAACAAAGATATTTTCCTTACAAAAAAAATAAGAAATTTATTTATTTATTTAGTTTTTATTATCGATAAATTAATTCGATATTTCTTTCGTAAGGTGTTCATAAAATTGTTAATCTCAAACAGTTTTTACACTTTCTTGTATATTGAAGTTAAATTTTAAAAAATATCTTTTTATATTTAAAATAAAATTATATTTTTGACAACGCGAAATAAATTCCATTGAATTAAGTACTATTTTATCTTTTCTCTCACGTTTCTCTTGAGCTAAAAGAAAAATAATAATATCATATGTACAATTTTATTTAATATCTTACCGTAATAAAAGAATGTAAAAAATCCGTTGCATTTTGATCTTAAATATGAATAAGCTTCATTTTTTTTGTATCTTTCAATTTTAATAGAATGTTTGCGCACTTGTTTAATACTGTTCTCAGCAGTCAACGGGAAAATAATGAGATAAACTAATTAAAAAATTTATTTCTAGTCTTTAATCTGTATGTTGTAAAATTAATCCCAATATCCTGCAAAAACAAGCGAAGAAGAAGAAATTAAGAGAATCGAAGGAACGTCTATTTTTCCTCTTCTTTCTTTTGTTCTTTTTTGATCTCGAAACCTATGGTAACGTTCGATTTATCCGTGAAACTGCCGGCCATTGTGACTGTAGGTTCCTTTCTGCTCGAGATCATCTGGGCCAAATCTTCCATCTTCAGATTCTCCAGGTCTACAACCGACATGGTCGAAAACGAGCTCTGTCTCGAGTAACCGAAATTAGACTGGGTCTTCGACGCGACCGACTTCGGCGCCGTGACGCTTTGCGATCGCGAAAAGTTCTTTCGCTTCTGCGTGCCGGCGTGCGCTTCAATGCTCTGTCTGAATTCTTCTCTCGCTTTCTCAACGGTGGATTTTCTCGTGTTAAGAGAATCCGATTTCAGAGAAGTGGACGTTCGGGTTCGATCGGAAGTTTCGTCGGTCTCCTTGATCCTCACATCAACTTGCGAAACATCCATGCTTTCCACTCGGAAACTGCATCAACAATTGAATGCCACCAATAATTTCATTAAGCTACATAATAGTTTCATATCGATTACATATTTTAATATCGCATACCGTCCGATCTTTTTGTAGCTGCCGCTCAACTTGGTGGGATTAACGTCGTCCTTCTGCTCAAATATCGATTTAACGTCTTGCTTCTTCTGCTCTTCGGTCTGCTTCAGAGTCAACGTGTGGTCGTCATCGTCGCAGATCAGATCGCAAGTACAGTGAAGCGCGTCGGCCGTAACGCTTGACTGTACCGCTTGCGGCATCTGCGTTAATTTGCGTATCTGACCGTCCTCGTTGCTGTAATAATCCGTATATGAGACGCTGCCGCGACTTTCGCGATTCTCTCGATCGAGGCGCATACAAAATTCGTTAAAATCGACGTCCAGGCAAGGAGTCGGGGAGAATTTCCGCGCGGTGCTAAACAGTTGAGCACTGCGAACGGAGAGACGTTTGTGTTTCTAGTGCGGTTAATCATTTGTTAATTCTATAACTAATACAAAAAGCATTTTGCCAGAAAGGAGAAACGTAGGAGTGTAAAAAATTAACTACATATAAGTGTAAATTAAAAAAAGGATAATTACAACAATATGTACACAAGTAATATACGCTAACTTAAATTCTATAGCTGCTAAGTCTAGCGCAAAACTGCAAAACAATCGAGAATTAATTGAACACGTGAAGAAAATTCGAGCTGAAATTTAGTCTCGGAACTCACCCGTCGTTGCTGATCAAGCTTATAGACATGCTGCATTCGCCCGTGGATGTAGGTGCCGGTGACGATGGTTCGGACGATAGAAAAGACTGCGGTTCGCTGCTCCATCCTGTGCCTGCGCAAAGATTGTTCGAATAAACTTGATAACACAATCGCGTTTGAAATTTTCGTAGCTACTTACTGATCGGACTGGTAGGTGACGGCACGTTCCTTATGTCACACGTTTCCGCTTCACCGGACTTGTACTGTATCGGAGTCGGTGTTATGTACCTGAGAATATAACACTTATACGAACGATCAAGCAATGATATTTCACAAACACGTTATTCCCTTTTAAAAAAGCGATTGACTAGAATAATATATGACACGTATTTGTACACATATTACAAGATGGATCAAAGTTGGCAGTAGATCGGATTTTAGGAAATGTAAGAGTTAATTTTAGTAGATGTTCAAATGTTATTACACTGTGCTACTTTTAAAAAATCACAAAAAAATTATATCAATTACAAACAATTATTAAATATAATAAAATATTATAAAAAAAATAAATCGATCGCGTTTTTTTTTTGTTTTTGATCTTCTGGAGAGACTTCACTCTATACAGATAACAACTAGACCATTAGAACAATGTTCACGAAATAACTCTCATCTTTTTTGAAGAAAGAAGAACTTGAAAAAAAAACGCGATTTTTGAGTCTGTCTTCAATTATAGAAAATCGAGTTCATTTATTTTTAAATAGAGTGTTTATATAGATTGAGTTTTAAATATTAGCGTATATCTCGACCAACGATATGATTTTTTAATTAGTAATTGACTTTTTGTCACTTTGTGTTTTTGTACACTCATTCGCATATAAACGCGCAAATCGTAAAAAAACAATCAATACACATTGACGCACACACAGACAGAAGTTCTGAATAATAATCTTACTCAAAAATATACGCGCGAAAGATTAGAAAAGTTCGTGACTGCGAAGTTCTCGGTCGATGCGGAAAAAGGAAAGAGAGAACAGCAAATACTCACGAACGTGCTTTATGTAATTTCTTACGATACCTGACAGCTTCGGTGTCGGAAGAGTGGTACTCGCGACTGATCCCGACGGAGCTGAGAGACGGATTGAGCGACTCGTGCGTCGATCCGGCCGGCGACGACTTGGGCGGCGACGACGCTGGGGTCCGGTATAGCGGCGCGGTGGTCATCATCTCCAGAAAACAGTCCAGTTGACGTAGTGACAGCGCGTTGTGCAGAGTCTCTAACGGCCTGATGGGTGGTACACCACCAAAGCCTTCTATTGCTGACGACAAGACACGACAACGATTATTTTTCACTCGTGGTTATTTTATTTCTTTCTAGAGCAATCCTAGATTATATTTTGCGTAACGATCACTCTTGTCACAGATTTTAAGAATAATAAAAACTTTTGTTTATATGCACAGAATGATCGTTCTGTAACGGCTACTTCTCTCAGTTTTGATCAGAATTCAGAAGAATTTAATTAAACAATTTTTTCAAATTTAATTCAGAATTTAAATTATTGTGAAGTAAAGATCTAGTATCTAAATGAGATTTCTTATTCAGAAATCTGAATATTTATCTCTGATGTTTCTATGCTATATATTAAATACAAGTTACTACCATCTAAATAGTAGCTTATATATAATATATATAGTAGTAAAATTATATTTTACTGCATATATATATAAGTATATAATAGTAATTGTAACCGTAAATTTTATTATTATTTAATGTTTAATTTTTTCTCAGTAAGATTCAATTTAATATAATAAAGCGAAAAAAAAGGATCATTAAATGTTAGTTGGGAATGGGTTAGAGAGATTGTTCAATGTGATTCGCCAGTGCTTACCGGCAACCGCGGACGCGTGGGGCGGTACCATATCCTTGAGATTTGGCGCGCTCGAGGAACCACTTATCACAGCGGTGCTGAAGAGGCTGTTGGCCGAGCCGGTAAGCTTTTTGTTGACACTGTAGTCCAACAGCTTGAAATAACTCGTCTGTCCGGAGATACTGTGACGCTGGCGCCTTGATACTGTGCAGGTAGGATCAGGTTGAATGATCTGAGGTCGCGTGTCTAGGCGAGGAAGAAGAGGAATAAGGCTGGATAATCAGATATCAGACGGATTCTAAGGAGACTTTAGATGATGAAATAGATGAATGAAATACAATGGGCACAAGTGATGAGACAATTAATTTCGCGGACTTGTACTGACAATTAAGAAAAAAAAAAAAAAACGATGACAATAAAAACTGAACATTGTTATATCTAATGTTGTGTTTATAAAAAAAAAAAAAAAAAAAAAAAAAAAAAAAAAAAAATCCTTGATATAGACTCGGTCGCAAATATATGAAGGTCTACATACTGGTGACATATATTCATGCTCGTGCACGTTCGCAAGATTTGCTTTCGCACTCGCGTCGCGAGAAGAAGAGAGAGACAAGATGCATTAGAAACGCTCTTAATCAAAAGAGAACATGACAAACGAAAACGAGAGAGGCAAAGCCAGTCTAAAAATAAAAATGCTAAAGTAATATCTTACATTTCATTGACAGCGGTGATCATAAGTAAAAAAAAAATTGTTAATATGTCAACAGATGCTTAGATTATTAGAGAGAAGCTTTGTGTTTTTTTTTTTTTTGTTATCTCTTTCTGCGAAATAAACAACTGCAGAAAGAAACGCGAGTGATAATTAAAAGTTTTTATCAGAATTTTAAGTAATTCTGATAAAAGTGTGATTTTTAAACAAATATTTTGAAGTAAATAAATTTTCCTGAGGACGCGCGCCAGGTTTCCTAGACTGTTCCACGTAGTATAAACATCCTATTATGTTCTTTTCAAACTACATGATAATCCTTGACACTGACTGCTCTTCCCGCACACCACAGACTGTCACATCGTCACAGAGATTGAGAGAATTGCGATGTACAATTCCCTACTTGATACTCTAAATCTAACGCTGAACTCACAGTAGCTCGCGATTATAGCATCAATGTCGGCAAGATAAAGATCCTGGCTGTTGATCTTCCAGTGCTTCGAGTAGAAGTGCGACCTACGAGTGAAGAGCGGTCTGGTGCCGTGCGCACGGAAAAACGAGCACGAGAGAGCGAAGTCTTTTCGCAGGATCTCCGGAAACTCCGGCGAGCTGTGCGACCGCGCCAGTATCTGCCGAGGTCTCCTCGATCCCGCTAAAGATAAAAAGATTTGCAATGCAAAAGCATGATTGCGCAAACATACATACCAGGTGACCAGCGTTATCAGAGGAATGTATATATATATGTATATATATATATATATATATATGCGGTGCAACATTCGGAACGGCGTGTAGATTTGGTGGGAGGACGAGGGGAAAGAAAAAAAAGACAGAGAAAGAGTTGATTTAAAGAAATCTGTTTGCCAAAGAAACTCAGCGGGACGAATCTTTAGATCTGTATTTTACTTTTGTCTCGACACGGTAAATATGGTTTTGTAGCTATTGAAAAATTAACTACACGTTGCAGTATGTTTACTTTCCTCACTTGCGTCGTCAGATTTTGAAATAATTTAGAGACTACTGTGCGCGCGTATAACATATTTTGTAAATAATAATTTCCGTAATTTTGTTAAGTAACAATCTCTCTGTAATGTCACAACTGCAATTTACTGTGTGTACGTATTTGTGAGAGAAAAATAGAAAAAGATTAAACTACATCACAAAATATTTTCTAAGAGAATAATGCAACTTTGCGCTCTTGTAAAGATTCGCCGCTTTATATAGGAAGAAATAAGAAGTAAACTAGGAAAGAGTATACCTTCGACCCTTCAGACTATATAGTGTTTCGATTAGCGAGTACGTTAGAAATTTATTACGAATATATCACACACACACACGCACACCACATAACAATCGTGGTACACGATAGCCATGCAACCAGTAAGCCAACCAAAACCCCACACGACACGTATCGACACGTGAGGACACAATCGTCTCGTCTAACATTTATCAGAAATGCCGGAGTATATATACGGCACTGATTAATGCACGATTAATATTGTGATGCTACGATACATAATAAAATCTCTATGGATTTTTTTCTCTTCTATCGTTAAATCGGTACATATGAATTATGTGTGTAAAAACAAAAAAGAAGAGAAGATACGTGGAGAGAAGATGTTTCATGCCGCCGTGTGCGAACGAACGTTCATAAATGAAAAACAAAAATAAAAAAGCACAAGTGAAGAGACGGAGACGATGTGACGGGACGAAGATGAGACGGTGAGACGACAAGAAACCAAACATGTAACAACCATTTAAAATAAAAGCAACAGATAATATATGTAATCGATGATTGTTATGATGATTACAAAAAAAAAAAAAAAAATTGATAGTTCGATGTGACGTATTTCGAAAATGTATGGCTGTGTGTTGTTTCTACATATGTGTTATGAAAATACACGTGAGTCTTCGGAATTTCTCCGAAGAGTCTGAGAGATGACGAAAAACGAGACACACGATGATAATTTGGAACTTGTGATCTCGGGATCGAGAGGAGTCGGGAGGGCAGCTGAATGGATCACACTGCGGTGTGATGAGCGCGTGTGTGAGCCAGACAGTCGCCTTGACAAAATTGATTAGTTGGCTTCCACGCGCACAACTATCGCTGAGCAAAGAGTTATTTCAACTGGTATTTCAGCATCTCCTACTTGACGTAAAATACACAACTCTCGGCTATATATATGAAAACTACATAAAAACAAAGATACATTAGACTTTTTCTTCCGGACAAGATCTCTCGTCCCGACCGGATTCATCAGCGGTTTCTGACAGGACTTTTGTGTTTTGTGTGGCACTTCCGGTATATTCTATTATGTACAGAGTTTTCAATCGTTAAAAAAAACAAAAAAAAACAAAAAAAAAACAATGATATCAATTCTCTGTTACAGTGTGTGTATGCGTGTACGTGCGATACACGTGTTTTTGCAGAAAAAAAAAGAAAAAAACTGATTAAAGGGAGAGAAAACAAAATCAACAACAATAAACGCAGATCGCAAAACTGCAACGTAAAGATTTGGGCAATTTGTGTAAAAATTGACTTTACAAAGGGAAAAAGGGTGAGAATCATCAAAAGACTATAGCTACGAGACGTATATAAAATGTAAGTATATATATATATATATATATATAGAAAATGTAAGTATATATATATATATATAGAATAACGATTACACTGTAATAAGTGTTTCAAAGTATCAGACAATGTGCATGTAAAAAAAGCGCATTCCGGATATACAGATTTATCAGCCTAAGAAATGTGCACGCTTTAAACTGCAATAAAAAGAAAACTTTTGTAAAATCGTTTTGTTTTTTTTTATATCAAAATATTTGTCAAATATATGTATGTATATCAAAATTGTATGTAATTGACAAGATAATAAGATTTATTGTTATATGTTGTGAAATTTTGCTAACTTTACTTATAAATTGTTACTTTATAAATTGTGTAAACGGAATTATTTCATTGTGCAACATATGTGCAAGTTCTTGAAGAAAAAAAAAAAACAAAGAGAGCATAACGCGTGTGTCGTATTCAAAACAAAACTAAAAAAAAAAAGATAAGTAAGTCTAGAAGTCAAAACTGCGGTATAACAAGATAACCACAAAGATAAATTGTTGAGAAATTGATTTTAGTGCATATTGTCTTGAAGAGTATCATTCTGTAGAAATTAGTGGTCGATAAAACATACCTTCTTTGTTGACCGCGTCCAAGCTCTGATACTGCAGCTTGTCCGCAGCTACAAAAAGAGACAGCAGGACACAGAAAGGTGCACTGTGGCAATGTTTTACCATCAATTACCAGTAATTAGCTCTAAAAGCTCTCTACAGTAAATAGCCTGACTCTCCTTCAACGTTAACGCAACATATTGCGCGTAATCGCAATATGTATCGCGTACAATCCCTCTTCATACGTGAAAATACATTTATACAGATTATATATAGCGAAAGATAAATCTTACTATACTATTATTGTGTGTGCCCGAAAATATCCCGCTCTCTACATGCAATATATATATATAATTTTTTATAAAAAGCAATACAAATTCAATATGATGTGGTTTTTTCGTAACGTTGTTTCTTTCTTTTTGCATACAAATGCAATTGACAATCTAAAAACTTCTCTTTAGAAATCTGTCAGAGAGAAAAATAATATCTCTAAAAATATAAATTAAGTTGTACTTAAAATATTGAACGTTAAGTACAACTTGGTTATTTATCGTAATAAGATTCAGTTTTTTTCTTTGTGATACGAAGCCGCTACATCGGAAGAGAAACAGCATGTAACATTCGTACGTAGCATAAATATACCGATATATAGCTTTGTCGAGATGCAATCACAATAAATAAATAAATAAATAAATAAATAAGTAAATAAATATATATATATATATTATATCAAGAAAACAAATGTAATAATTGTAATTATAAACATGCACAAACTATTAATGTGTTAAGGATATATCATATACGTGTGTATGTATGTATGTACACGTAAGAACTCTCATCACAATCTGGCAAAATTACATTTCGATTCCAGTATCGTTTCTCTGTGAGCGAGATCTTTTTTACCATGTACTTTCCCTGATGCTAGTAAACAGGGCTTATCACAAATCTGCTCACTGATGCTAATTTGCATACCGAGGTGAACTTACCTTTCTCGGACTTCTCCTGCCGCTGATGATCGTAGCTTCGCGCGCGCGGTTCCATGATGGTTCTTCCCTCTTTGTTTCTCCTCTCGCGGTATCGTTGACAGTTCATCGCCAACAAGGTGCCGATCTTCGCGAGCCTATCGGCCTCGTGTCCGGCCACAGTTCTAGCGCTTCGCGTACGATAATGTAAATTAAATAAATTTTGCGATCTTTGTGTGTGAAAATTCGCACAATCTTTATAAACCAAATCTAAATAGAACCTGATAGGAATTGGAGCGGAACTTTGTAAGAATCCGCTGTCGTACGGCTCGTCCATCATACTCGGGTCTAGATCCATCATGTCAATCGCGCGACTGGTCGTTGGACTGTCCGGCGTGGCATCCATCGTCTCTATAGCGTCTACAAACTCCGAAGGAGGTGTATCCTGAAAGTAGAAAAATTATTTATTTACATAATTTACGAACAATAAATATCTTACATGTTTCGTTAAAAATTATTTGTAATACAAGCTGCTCACAGTTTGTACAACGGGATTCGTAAGATCGTCCTCCGTAGCTCCCAATTCTTCCTCCTCTATCCGGGTGCTGCATTGTGAACTAGTGTCCTGACCGGAACCGCGATTTTCCTCCTTAAAAAAATCAAAAAGAAATTTCTTTTTATCATTCTCAGCGCGTTCTTAACAAAGATAAACCGACTCACTACATTATGACTGCTCTCATTCCGCGAGTGTGGTCTGAATCCAGGACCGGGTGGCAGGTTCTTCTGTACGCAACAGTTAACGCCGGGACTAAAGTGCAATTCCACGTGAAAACGTTCTTCGCTGCTCGGATCTTTCGTTGGATCCTCGTACAACATAACGACGATCTGCGACATGTAATTTAACTCGGATACCATACTAACGTATTCCATTGCGCGTCGCCATTGTTCATCTTTCACAACCTATTAAGGCATAAAAGTCAGACAAATATAAAATATGAGAGAAAGAATGTTTTGTTTTAGTTACAGATCAATTGTGTCACTTACATCAAGCAAACCACCGTAACGCAACACCGTAAGCAGGGAATGTACGTGACTCTCACTCGTGAAGTATAATCTCGTTCGCACATGACGTCCAGGGCTCGAAACACCGTGAGAATATCTAGGATTCAGTCTATTGACAGTTTCCTCGGATTCCTCGATATTTCGTTGCAGATCAGCTCGTATTTTCTTCAGCAAAGGCGTGCAAATTCCTTGACCAATGGTTAATTTTTCTTGCACCGTCAAACCATATTCCTGCAGATTAATCATTTATAAAACATATAATAAATCACACGAAGAAACAATGACGAAACCGAAGATATTATTAGTTAGCAAGAATCGTACCTGAGGAATCACTATATCCGCCAAAGATTTCGCGTACGTGTACAGTTCCTCAGCGTGCTCGAACTGCAACGTGTGATTGTTGTGCTGCAAATCGTATTTGATGCAATCATAGATATCGGGAATCTTTGATATGTCGAAACGCTTGTTCTTCGTGCAAAAATCCTTTTCGATCTTTCCCCAGCGACGTCCCATCAGCTCCCACGTTTCGCCGTGGTAGAGTATGGTGTCCTTCGTTTTCGCATCGTCCTTTTTAATCCGTATAATGTCCAGAAGCTTCTGAATGAGACTGTGAACGTGTTGACAACATCGAACAGGATTCTTGACAAAATCCAACGCTGCGTTGATGCTCAACGCGTTCCCCGGATTGATCTGTTCTCGATCCTCGCGAGTAAATTCCCTGTCTTGTTGAAGCAGCTCGTGCAAGCGTGTTTTCACCCTGCGATAAAAACGATCAGTGCGAGGCAACTTACAATGAAACCTCAGATTGTTATTTGAAAAAAATTCTTTCTGTACTCACATATTCTGGTACTTGCTGCTGTCGCAGTCGTTGTCCAACAGGCCATTGGTGTTCGCGCTCTTCACCATTTGCACTAAAATAGGCGTCAGTTCTCCCTCCAGCGCGAGCAATCCCTTGGCGAAAGCAGCCGCGGTCATTTGAACACGTCCCTCGTCGCTGGCGTATATCTTCAAATCGTGACGGAACGTCGAGTGCAGTCGTAACAAACCCAGTCCTTGAGCACCTGCGTATTCACCTACGTTTACACAAGGGGAATGATATCAACACACAACGGAGACGTTTCTCGAAATAACAACGATAATAATCATACGATAATAATCAGAGACACAACAATGAAACAAGTTCAAGGATCACTTCAAAAATGACGTACGCTTTGATGCCGAGATCATTGTTAAATGTAAAAACACATTATAATTTTCGATTATTAATTGTATTAATTGAACACGTTTTACACTGTGTTATAATGTGGAGAACACTATAGATCTTCCATGTCTTTTTTTTTTTTTTTTTTATGTTTTAGAGTTAGTTACCTCATATATCTTCCGGTTCGCGGAATGGTAGAGAAAATTTCATTGAAAACATATTGTGCAAAACAGTGCGTGCAAAAAATTTCGTACAAAAACAAAAATAGAACAGAACAACATTTAACGTGTTGCAACATATATATATATACAGTGCCATCAAATACTCAACTCAAGAGACATTCGTCAACGATGAATAGAAGCGTGAGGCGCGAAGTGGGTCAGTGTAATGTCGTCTAGCGTTTGAAAAAAAAAAAAAAAAAGAAAGAAAACCATGCCACACTCTTACAGCACCGCCAACTTGATTTGATCAAGTCGGATGACCGGTCACGAGCGATCAACCAAAGAGATACAAAATGTGTGTGCAAGTGTAATCTTACGATAAGCGCCGTCGACTCTAGAACGTCGCTATTTCTAAGGAAACAGCAATAACAATCTACAGAGAACTATGGAACAAGCGTCGATCGTAAATAAAAGGTTACCGTGGTTTGGTAACATCTCTGTTTCTTCCTCTGAAATAACATATTTGAGATAAATTATCCTACAATTTGACTCCGAGAGATCGTAATCACTACATTCTACTTCGCTAAACTTATTTAAGATATGATTGCCAATATGTATTTAGTGCCGTAGCGACTATATTACTGACTGAGGTTACTGTTGCGTCAAATTGATATTAATTTTGTAAACAAATCTTGTAAACAAATCTTGAATCTTTCACGATACACATGAAACAAATGTGAGAGAAATACAAGACAAAGTATCGCTGAGCGATATCTTTTGAGCTGACCAATCTTGTTTTGCACTTTGTACACAATATATATAACAAATTTTCAAAATACAAATAATGCATAATTATACTAGTAGTCTAGATCTCAGGCTTTTTCACAGATTACATTGTAATCCAAATATATACATATATATATATATAATATGTATACGTATTACGAATAAATCCAGAACCAAGTTCAGCTAACAGAGGGAAAAATTACTTGTGTGGAAATGATCTCCGATAATTGCGTAGAAACTTAAAAGCGGGCATGGCAAGCATATGAACATAAGATACGAACCACTAAGGTGTCTACCTTGACCACCGGGATACATGCAGCGAAAGATTCGTCCGAGTTCTTCCGCTTGTATGCGTCCGGCGGGCGTCAATTCTCCACCCCACTTCAGTATCAGAACAAGAGACGGTTCTCCTAATCGATCTGAAAAATACCGGGGTTAAGAAAGTTACGTACTTGAATTTTTTTTTTTCGCGTAATAAGCATTATTTTGCAATACGTATAAATTCGCTTTTTAGAATTAGATAAGAAAGCAAAATGTGGCATACTAAGATCACTACCGTCGTCGGAAGAACTTCCTCGTGGTCTTCCTCGCGGTTGATACTTCAGCTGGACCTTGCGATTTATACCGGAAAAATGTCCGTACCTGCAATAAACAAATTTAGTAAAACGATTTTATTATAAATTTCTTCAATGCAATTTGTTTCTGTACAAATTAAAGCTAAATTAAAAATTGACAGCACATTGTTGTTCGTAAATACACACATTTCCAAGACGCTTTTGAGTTGTTCCAATTTCCCTTGCTTCTCTTCCAACTCCGGTCCTGCCGCGCGATGCTGTATTTCCGATAATAGACTACGCGCCGTATCGAGAATCTCTTGCAGCTGTTTCGGTCGCTTGAGTTTTACGTGACCATGCTTGTAGCCATCGTATTTTGCGAATATTTCGAAAAATCTGTAAAAATGTTGTTGCATTTTATCATTTGTTCGAATTAAAATTTTGTGTAAATATTTAAAATCAAACACGTAAAATTTTTGTTTATATGTTTCCTATTCTGCGCCTCGGTTTCGTGCGCGTCCGAAAATAAAATGATCTCGAACTCATCGTTCGAAAGAGATATCGCTCACGCTTTTATCGCGTAGTTCAAAAATAATTAAATATATTTATACATTTCTCTGTACTCACTTTGGATGACGTACTTCCACCTTCATCTTTTGCTTTGGCGTTCTGTCACCGTGCCTAATAACCGCTACGACGCAACGTAACTCCATCCTAAACATACGCAGAATAAACGCATATAAGAAACACACACTTCAACATTAATAGCAATACACACGTCTCGCCAATTCTTATTTCGCACGCGCGAAAACTAACATTTTGCCAAATGTCGTTGGCACAATGGGCGGATCGTCCAATTGGAAGGGAACGCTCCATGGAATGTGCAAGGTAGGTGCCAATTCTCTCAGTATCATATTCCCTAAGATCTTGGCGCAGTCATCATAATACTTGTTCGAGTTCTTCACGAAACTGAACCCATTCACGTCGCACACGAACGACTGACCGTTCGCTCTGTAAACATACACACAAACCGAAATTCGTATTAAATTGTACTATAACTTCTTGATTGCCAGCAAACGCCGCCGCCGGCTTACGATACGCCGGTGTAAACACCGTTTTTACGACTGTGAGACTCGCAAGTTCACGGTGTCGCAAGAGAAGTCAAAGCTATACAATATGTAACATGATACACGATCCGAGATAATACTGATAACCATGTCGGTATACAACGCGCATATAGCTTATTGGTTGAAAAATAATAAGAGTAAAAAGAAATGTATCTTCAACGTGCAGACAATTGTGTGTGCGTGTTATTTATAACGGAATCGTAAAAAAGAAAACAAAACTTGATTGAACTTTTATTGTGTTTCTTAAATATTGCATTTACACATATTGATTACAAATTGTTAAATGTGTAATCACGTACCTTAACAAGTCGAAACCGCATACCGTTTGTTTAAAAGCCAAACACACTTTCCTGCTAATAAGCTTCTCGGCGTTGCTCAATATTACCGGATAACGAATCTCTTTGCCCTCCGAGTCTCTCTCGACCTTACCGTCGAGCGCCGGACTTTTTCTCGCCTCGGCGTGAGCGTAATCAGGTCCCACGGTATAAACTTTAACGTCAGTGCCGTCCGTAGGCATAAAATCTTCATAGATATAAGAACCACTCTTACGAACACGAGATTCCGGCGAATATACACTACTACGACTACCTATCTGCGTAACGAAGAAAATAATTTTATGAAATTTTTTTTATTATTCTTTTAAAAAACAAATTGCTTCGTAAATGTCTGTAAAATATATGTGTATTTTAACGTGTAAAAAAAATAGTATGTACCTTTCTAAATAATCTTTGACTACCCCCTCCAGCGGAAGTGGGATAATAAATATAAATGTTATGATCTTCGGCGGATACTGGTTTTTCTACAAATGGTTTGTTGAAAGTAACGCCATTTACTTCAACGTGATCTTCCGATTCCACCAGTTCGTGCTCTGAAATACAATATTCCACGTATACCTCCTCCGCAAAAAATCAAATATATGCAGCAAACAAAAACGTGCTTGAATTGAAATTGTTTTAGATGTGTAAAATTATTCGAAGTTTAACTCACGTTTCGGATCTGGCGAATCCCTGTCGAGAACGGCGTATCGTGGAATTTCGATACCCTCGCCCTCAAGTATAGCGTAAACTCTTCTCCGATCCTGCGGCAATCAAACGTTCTCGTTAATTTTTAACTTGTAAGAGGTACATTTACATTTTATAATAACAAAAAAGACTCAACGACATACCTGAATATCATATTGCATCGGAAGATTATTGATAATAAATGGATTACGTAAATTCGCATAATTTATAGCCTTGTCGAGAGGAAAACCCTTACTGTGAAAACTTATTAAACAGTCGACTACAGGCCAATTTTCAACAGGTTCCTATAAAAACAAACACACACAATGTAAGAGACTTCATGTATACATATGTAGATCTTTCTGATAATATAAATACATTACAAAATAATAAATTAGAATATAATTAGAATATAATTAGGGCCTTCCGGCTCTATAGCCTAGATGGAGGTGGCTTGAACAAATTCAGTCCAAATGGAGATTATCGAGGAACGTTTCGATCATTTTATTTCCGATCATCTTCAGCCTCGCTGAACATACAAATGACAAATACAAATACAAAAATTAAACAGAATTCGCAGAACACACAAGTGTTTAATTTTTGTATTTATATTTGTCATTTGTATGTTCAGCGAGGCTGAAAATGATCGGAAATAAAATGATCGAAACGTTTCTCGATAATCTCGATTTAGACTGAATTTGTTCAAGCCATCTCTATCTGACCTCTAGGGCCGGAAGGTCTAATTTATTATTTTGTATTATATTACGACCGTTTTTTCTATTATAAATACATTACCTTTAATATCACTTCTTCCCGAAAGACAATAATTTTTATATATTCAAACTCCTCAAGCCTTGTCAAAATCTCTTTCATCGGTTTACTCTGCGATTTCTTCGCCATCGCACACACTCCAACCAACACTTGCTTTCCCTCTCCTTCAGTATCAGCCATGTAACCATCATCCTGGATGTTTTCTTCTGCTTCAGGCTAAAAGTGCAAACGGTGAGTAAATGATCGTTAAACAATCGTTAAAAACGATCACAGAATAGATGTGTGAGAATTGTGTCTCTCTTTTTTGATAATCAACATTCAAAAAATACAAAAACAACTTTTGTAAAACTTATATAAAATTTAAAATTAAACCGTCTACACACACACATCTTTTTTCTTAAACAAAAACCAAAAAAAAAAAAAAAAAAAAAAAAAAAAAAAAAAAAAAAAAAAAAAAAAAAAAAAAAAAAAAAAAAAAAATCAATCAGTAACAGCCCAAGAATGAAAGAATGCCATAAAAAGGAGGAAGATTAATTTTGGATCAAAACATATATTCACCAAAACGAAATGTAAATCTTCTAAAATTTTCGATAGGTAACAAGCAGTTTGTGACAAGGATTTTATAAAAACATCAAGCTAAATAAGTGCTCACCCAGTTGCTCACCCAACCTGTTAGGCCGGACAGAAATCTAGACTTGTTGCCAGCAGGACAACTTTCTTCACAAGTTCTCATTATGTTATACTCTCTAGTTTTGATCGTTAGATAAGTAAGTTACACGCTGATCGCGTATGTTATTGCCTACATAGAAAGGTCACAGATATCAAGCAACAAAGCGTGAGAGATGTCAGGAATCTGAATTCAGAAATACACGCAGTCTTTTTTGAATTCGCGATTCAAAAACTCAAACTCTTGTTCACCTACATATCTCTATCTATGTTTCTCTCTCTTTTTTTTTATTCTTTTTTATTTCTTTATCTGATTATTACTATCTCTACGGTTTTCAGTTTTGTGAGAAACGTGATAACGGTCATGCGGGAACAAGCAAACTCAAAGTGGGATTGATTGTTAATTGCTGCAAAGAATTAGAGAGAAATTGTTACAATGAAAGTACAATGAAAAAGTGAGAATGTGATAAAAAAGAGAAAAAGATGTCAAACATAATCTATCCTTATTTCCTGTTATGTAACAATTACGCACTAAAAACAAAAAAAGAGTAGTACTTATCTCTTACTTTCGTGATGTAAAAAATATTTATATTATTACACAGTATCTGATAAGATATTGTACAAAACTCATACATTAGACATGTAGTCAATCACCAATTAACACAAAAGAAGATAAGGAAAAGAGAGAAAAGTTATTGTCTCTTGCCCCTCAAAGTGCCATTCATGTCTCAAGAAAATTTGTATAAAAAAGCAGATAATGCGTGTCAGTAAAAGATAAAAGTGAAAACAATTAAAAAACTGAAAACGATCGTATGTAAATGTAAAAAATAACTGTTGTAAGTGAAAAAAAATCCACACTATTTAACAGCAGAATTTGTAACAAGGTGACTTGCACAGTACGCAGCTTTTTGCATTGTATGCGAGACTGAATGTTTTATAGACAATATAAATTATGCGCATACCATCCGAGCTTGAACAATGTGTCTCATAATGAGATAAATTCCTGTCTGTCCAAACATCATGGAAAAAAGTACGTCCTTGTTTTGTTTTTGATTCTCCGACTACCGCACCAGTTGGAAACACTCATTAACGTTTGACTTGATTGCTCTTTAAAAATCGACATTACATAAGAACGCATGTACATACATCCTGACTATTTAAGGACCAAAAAAACTATAATGTGTTTAGCAAAAGTTCTTCCAAATATTTACTCGACAACCGTTTTCGCTGACACATTTCCGCTCATTGCTAGTGCGAAGAGACGCTAAAAATACATCCTTAGATCGCTTATATTTATAAATATAAGAAATCTTCCTACATGTGCCATAAACATGCTCTCCATATATGTTTCTAACCTCCAAAAAAAAACTGACCCTTGTTTACTCTCTGGTTTTAAAAGAGTGTAAAATAATTGATTGATTTTTCTTAACAAACGGACAACATGAAAGAATGAGAGAAGACATTGATATTAATATCTTCTCGTTCTTCAGTCAATTTTGTTTCTTTAATTCTCAGTAATCATCAATTGTTACACACACACACACAGAAAACCATGTAGCTGTGTTTGTCACCCTATTTCTCATGATCCTATCAGATACAAAAATACATTTCATAAACAGGATTGCATTAATTTCAAATTAAAAAAAAACTTTTACATGTAAAAACATGTTTTCTGAGAGAAGTTTTATACTCTGAAATCAGAAATAAAAGGATAGATCTCGAAAAAACGTGCTCCAGTTTATATATATCATGCATGTGCGTGTGTGAAACCTGCTTGCAACTAAAATAAAAATATCACCTCAATTGCTAATGAAAAGCACGCACAATTAATTAACTTAGTAAAAAGAAACTTACTCTCTGCGATGAACAATAAATGGAAGGAATAACAGGTGGCTGCACTGTGTTTATATCTCCTATGTAAAACATTGGTCTGTTTGCGTTCCTGAGACCCTGCAAAATTTTTAAGAGGCTCGCAACAAACAACACACAAGATAATACAAGAGAGTTCTGTTCTGCAAACTTGATATAACCAATTATTACCTGATAGCCATGCTCCAGCTCGGTATAAGACATGTCAGATCAGGTTTCATTGATAAAGGAAACACCTGTTTTTTTTTTTTTTTTCCGTTTTTTTTTTACATATATATGATACACTCGGATTATTAGTTGCTTCACACTGTTGGCTTAATTGTTACAATTGCACTAATCGCAACGTCAATTGAATTAGTAACGCGCGAGCACGTTAACTAAGCGCCGTGTATAAACGTGCAACGACGTATGACGAAAGCAAACGACTGACTGCAATAATATTCGAAAACGCAAGTTGCACCGAATCACGCCCGTGTCGCGCGTGAATAGAATTTTCTGTTTTGCGCAACAAAAATTTTCTCGCGCAGCGTCTTCAACGACGACGTCTATCCGATCCCGCGTTTTCCTTCCGATTATTTATCATCGATAGTTATCACACACACTTGTGCGTGTCTCTTTTCGCAAACCGCGATTCAACCTTGCACGCTTGCACTTCGTGTTTGCACGCGCACGGATTATTATTTACCAAACACGAGATAAAGTGCGCGTTAACGTTCGTAAAATTCTATCGAAGGCGATTGCATTCGCGACGCGATGTATTTTGCAGAATACATAAAAACGTCGAGACAAGCGAGAAGAGAAGCGCGCGAGATCTTGCTACGCGATTGCGAATCCGACGGAGGCAAGTGTGTCCCAACGGCGAAAACGCGCGCCGTGCGTGTGTAAATAAACGGCAAAAATCAGCCGAGCATTTGCGGCGAAACGTAAGTAGATTCGGGGATACTTACGAATCACGAAAGAACTAGGAGTCACAAGGATAAAGGCTACGAGCGATTTGTAATATGACACGAAATACGTAATCCAGAAACACGCGTTGAATTTCTGTGCCTACCGCATATCTCGACCGCGTGTTGCTAGCAGTCGGTTAATTTCATGTGACGTGACGGGAGCCATGAACGTTTTAAGACACGTTTACACAAGACGCGGCTCGCAGGTCGCCGGCGGCGGTCTCGCAGAATCGACCAATCACGTCGATCGATCGGATCGACATGACGACACGCGATTAGTCGATTTCACGAGATCAGCGAAATGGAAAGTTGTAGGCCGTAATAGTAAGCAGAGAGAAACCTGAGAGCGGCCATTCTATAGTAATTTTTTACGACGGTTTCAGCCGCTGGTTTTAGCCGTATTTCCACAAAAGTGGAACTCAAAGGCCGTTCTACATTAAACGCAAGTCGCAGGTCTCGTGGAACTGATCAATCACGTTGGTAGATTGGCTGATTTGACTCTGCAATTGGTCAATTCCACGAGATCTGCGACTTGCGTTTAATGTAGAACGGCCTTTGAGTTCCACTTTTGTGGAAATACGGCTAAAACCAGCGGCTGAAACCGTCGTAAAAAATTACATTAGGATGGCCGCTCTCAGGTTTCTCTCTGTAGTAAGAAATTGACCAATCACAGACAAAGTACAGAAGAATAATCGATTGTGATTTGTTAATTTCTTACTGTTACGGTCTACAACTCTTCATTGTAGACGGCTCTTTAAGAGCCGTCGATTATTCTTCTGTACTTTGTCTGTGATTGGTCAATTTCTTATTATTACGGCCTACAACTCTCCATTGTAGACGGCTCTTTAGGCTGCGTTCGGAAACATCACTCGTGTATATTTTATCTTTATTGCTCATTATATATAAAACAAAGATAGAATGACGCTCGTGTGTACGCGAGTGCTGTTTCCGAACGTGACGTTACTCGACCAATGCAGAACGTTTTTTACCCTCGCACGTAAAATTTTTGTTGGAATTATTTCTTTACATTGCGAGAATGAGAGTTTTGAAAAACACTTCTTGCATATTTATATTTTATATCTATATATTTATATTTTATGTATTTACTTATATATATATTTTATACTTATGTATTTACTTATATATTTATTTATATTTTATGTATTTACTTATATATAAATATATACATATACACGTATATTATATTTATACCCTAATAGGCAAATTGTAAAAATATTGCACAAAAATAGCATCATGAATAACGACGATCCTGCAATGATTGCACTAAAAATGATTCGCCATAACGCAACAAAATTTTTGTCGAAATAAAATTTTGTAAATAATATTTGTCAAAAATTGCGAAAGAGTCGTTATGCATTTTCTTAAGTATATACATGAATTAATTTGATTTCTTTGTATGCAATTATATATTTCTACATATTTTAAACATAGCTGAAATTTTTTCCTCAATTATTGGTCAATTTCTTTGTGAAATTAATTTTGCAAATATACTGCTAAGATGATTCGCCATATCGTTATTCTTTTGCCGAAATAGTATTTGGAAAGTAATTTCGCAAACAACTACAAATATTTTATAAAAGATCAATGTTTTTACATCTATTTTCTAAAATATATAATTGCAAATTACAATTTTAGTGCAAGATTTCGTCACATAATTTTGTAAATGTTTTTTTCCTATCAGGGTACATCCCACACAGACATCCATCCATCTAGACATCCATTAGACATCTATTAGATGTCACATGGAGCTGTCAATGTCTAATAAACGTCTAATGGAGTTTTTGTTCTATGTGGGATGTTAGATACTATGCAAATTATATATATGTATATATACGTGTGCAAAGAAAACAATTATCAAATATCTTAAAACTCTTTGAAAACATTAAGATTTACTTATTAACTTACTTTCAATTGCTCTGAGAATAAAATCAGATTTCTGCCTAAGATGCTGCGCAGGAAAAGTGTCATGATGTTGCGCAGAAAAAGTGTCATGATGCTGCTACTGTCGAGCGGTAAAATTTAAGCTTCTATATATATAATTGTTAATTATTTGTTGTCTGTACAATTATTATATGTTAATTTATACAATAGATGAACACACAATATATCATAGAAGGAATAGAGATTTCGTTCATCATCAGTTAAATCAATTTTATCTTAGCATGATTTGTTATCAAAAAATGTTGGCTACAATAAATATTTTCCTTATATTTATATAGTCAATACACGATGTTCACTCATAATCTTTATGAAATCTATCGTCGTGATCCCAACCTTTATTGGGTTTCTGATTCGGCGTCGCGTTCTGGCGACACGAGTTTAATCTCGAATTAACGCCGTCTTTCTTCGGTTTGTTCTTATCCAACGCGCCCGACCCGCGTATTGCTCTTGGAACGTTCGAATTATTGCTAATGTAACTATCCTCAGATGCGCTAGTTATTTTTCTTTCAATTGTTACAACTTCTTGATTGCCGTCAGAGTTTTGCAACTGTTTACCTAAAAGAAAAAAAACAAAATCCTCTCTTACACACATTACATTTAAGAATATTAACAATTATAATTCGTAAATGTTTTTTGCATACATATGTCGGACATTTCTTATGGTACGTATTTCTCAGTAGAAAGTGTCTTATATATCCATACGATATATATTTCTCTTAAATTAAATAAACGATCATGTGTGTATACGTACCATCTAAAGTTGATTCCGCAACAACTTTTAACGTTTCCAGCGCAAACGGATATTCAAAAGAAATAGTTTTGATAACAGAAAGATAAAAATACTTCACTTCCAATTCTGGGACTTCGTAGTTGTTGCTAGTTAATTCGATCGTTAACAATAACATTGCACGGTCCTCGGGAGTTAAATTTTCCTTTACTAATATCTTCCTAATTTTCATCATTAGAGATTTCAGCCTCTGCGAGCATGTTTCATTAAGTTCCTTGCCAGATCTAAGGATCTGAAAAAAATGAAATGAAATGTTTTCACAATTTATTTATTACACATCTTATTCGTCAACAAATGTCGATCGATTCGTTTGCGCACGCAAAATACGAACATCTGATGCTTACCTGTACCAAAATGAACAAAATATTACTTTTCGGATTATCCTCCAACAGATCTTCCAAGTAACAGATTAATGGCTCAGCTAATATTGGCAGTCTTGTGTTATCACTCAGCTTCATGTGATAATAAACGTCCGCATGAAGCAGGACCATATTGGCAAACATCTTTTTCTTTTCTACTCTTGTTTTATCCTTAGCTGGAAAAACCACGGTGCAAGCACGGCGGTTGAGATGCAACAAGAAACTGAAAGGAATCTTAACGGGAAATATATAAACGGCGAATAAGAGCCCCGTACGCTGGATGTTGTGGCGGAAATATGTATGGTATGTATGTATGTATGTATATTTCCGCCACAACATTCAGCGTGCAGAGGAGATCTTATTCACCGTTTATATATTTCGCGTTTAGAAACCTTCAGAGCTCTTCTTTAATTGTTGAAATGGAATCTTATTCCATCCCGACTAACTTACACACATAATTATCCTGCAGCAAACGTAAGAAACTGCTCCGAACAGTGTCTCCGTTACTATCTTCCAGCAGTGCGATCTTATTGTCACTGAATATTATTGCCACTTTGTTAGTAAGCGAATTGTCGATCAGAGCATGTCTCCAAACATTGTCGCATACATTCCTAGACAATGTATCGTTATTTAAAAAAAAACAATCATTAAGATAACCAAGTGTGTGTGTGTACATACGTATATAATAAATCCAAAGAGTTTTTTTCATTTACTTTAAAATGTCTTTGTTTATCGTTGATATTACTGTCACGAGCTGCGGCGGTACCGGCTCGTCCGCGTCATACTTAGTGATTGCGTCTATTACACTTTGCGCGACATCGTTGGGAGAAGAACTGGAGAAGGCTCCCGGTCTGCGTAGAGGAGACTCTTTGTTTGCATTCCATCCACGACCGCGACCGATCGACATTGTTGCTAACTGTAAAAATTGAATATGTGGAACATACGGAGTGGTAAAATACTTGTGTTTGTGTGTGTGTATGCGTGTAAAATACTTGTGTGTGTATTATGTGCAAACATTTGTAATATATAAACATATTGTATATGAAAGTACATACGTGTGTGATACAATTTTTACGCGATCAGATGTACAGAAATTTTCGTTTACGATTTAAGAAAAAACTCTGAATACACATCAAAATATTTTTGCAAATACATTCTCGAGTTTGAGACAAACAATTGATCATTTCTTGGGATTTAAATTCGGAAAAATTATTAGTTTTTTTTTTTTTTTTTTTTTTTTTAAAGCGAAGTGAAAACATCACCTGTGCGTATAAGAAATGAATACAAGTCCAAATCTCTTTTCGTTCGGTTTTTCTGTATCCTGTTGCTTCTTCTTCTCACTTCTTGCCGCCTTACATTATTAATTCTGTACTACACCGTTCTATACTATGCTCTACTACAATGAGATTCGAGCACATTTTCATTCGAGTCTGCGGTTTTCCGCGCCATCTGGTAAATTTGAGAAACAGTTCGAATTTGCCCGCCGTAATTAAACACAACTATTTGTTCGCATTCGCCATAATTTTTACTTTGATATTTATTAAATTAATGTAAAAACAAAAAAGGACACGCCACGAAGCTTCGAGTGAATCGGAATTGTTTTCCTTATAAAACACTGATTATAACTCGGTGAAATCCGAGACTCCAAAGACGTTTACAGATCAAAACTCGATCGCTTCAATTTCGCTCGTGCGCCAGATCGTGCGTAACTACGTTCGTGTAAACATTGACAATAGACATCTAATCTCATATAGATGAGTGCGTGTAACCAAAGAAGATAACCTGGAATTTATATATTAAACCTTCTAGAACCGGTCTACGTGGCACGAACGTGGCATCGAGTCAGAAACTGCGATAAGTATACAAAAATGTGCGATTTGATTTATTTTAGTTAGTTTATATAGTTTTCTTTTTAGATAGTTCAGTGGTAAAACTTCTAAATATTTTCTCAAATCTTAAAGCAATCTCAATCGACCCAATGGAGCATCCTAGCGTGAATTGCAAATTCATAAAGGAGGATTTGATACCGGATATGGTGCACAATCGGTACTTCTGTGAGCCTAACTCCAGGGAGTTCATAGAACTCGACTTCGTAACTGCGGAGCATTTCGACAACTGTACTGAAACTTCTTCTCCTTATTACAAAAAGCGCGTGCGTTTCCATCATCTTTCTACATGTGCGGAAGTGCACCAAGTGATGGCGGATTTGCTGTTCTCCGACAAGAAGAAAAGCTTTGCTCTGATTGTAAAGCTACACAAACGCACGTCGCCGCCGTTCGATGGTTTCGAGAACGAGGAGATGTTTTACACCAAGATGTCGGAGATGCTACAGTTCGGAACGGACATCACTCCCAAGTGTTACCTGTCCGACATGCGTCGTTACAAGCAGCCAATCGTCGTCCTGGAGGACCTGACCGCGCGCGGTTACGCGTCGATAGACGCGGGTGAATTGGACGAGAATCATCTGAAAGTATGCGTGAAAACCTTGGCGACGTTTCACGGCAGGGGAATGAAGCTGAGGGCGAGTCAATCTTCCGTCTTCAACGAATTCCGCACGAACTTCTGGAGTTCGTTGGAAACAACGATCGAGATTGATGCTCTGTTTCAGAAACATATTGAGGAAGAGAAAAAGATTATAGAGAACAAACTCGGCTCCTCGTCTGCAAGTTCCGTTCTGCTTGAGAAAACATATAAAAAAATGCTAAAAATAAACAGTCTGGTGGACGAGGTCACTGATGTGTCCACCATCTGCCATGGTCATTTTCTCGGTGACAACGTGTTGTTCGGATACGAAAACGGGATGCCAAACGATGCGAAGATAATGGATTGGGAACAATTGAGGTTTTCCACGCCAGCGGTCGATTTCGGTACGGTTCTCATGGCCAATCTGCCAAACGAGACTGTGCCGGTGCTCGAGAAATTTTGTCGAGATATCTTGCAGTTTTACATCGACGTCGTGAAAACCGAATATCCGGAGGTGAATTGCGAATTGCTAGAACGAGATATTCTCGCCAAGTTGCTGATCGGATACTTCATCTCCCGTTATCTAATGGGGACGAACAATGATGGTTGCGGAGGAACACTGAAAATACTCGAACTGCTCTATAGTTTGGGAAGCCTCGATTAGAAATTATCTTGATAACATAACAAAAACTCACATTTTTACATAACATTCGTATCAAATCATTCATATTCACACATTTGTATCATTCATAAATAATATATTTTTATACTAATGTATTTTTTTCACTTTCACTTTTTGTAATTCACATGTCAGAGCATTGAGATATTGATAATATAATATTACAATAAACTCTATATTTTTATATACTTTACATTTACACAAGTTTCCTTTGACAAATAGCTTCGGATGACATTTGGTATCGACTAATTACTTTCAAAGTGTGCTGCGTCAAAAATTCTGCCACATTTAGACAATCTATATTATTCGCACGAAAAATGCACGTGGAATGTAATTGATAAAAGTGTGTCGCGGAGTTTCATTTACAGTGAGTTGTGTGCAGAGTTTATATCGGAGAGCAACTTTTCTTCTATATAAAATAACGTGAGAGCGAAAGAGAGGCAGAGAGGCGTCAATTCGATTTTTGCAAATAATGAAAAATTCTACTAATGAGCAATTAATCGTTGGTGCAAAATGCATAATTCAAATTCAATTTTGAATTATATATAACAATATATATATTAACGATATATATATATATATATATATACACACACATATATATATAATGTGTATATATATATATATATATACACAT